CGGTTAGAGCGTCGACCTGCGTTCTTGAGAGACCCGGGTTCGGTTCCCGCTAAGGGCACGTACCTCGGTTGCAGTTTGTCCCCGGCCCTGGTCGGTCGTGCGGTGGCAGCCACTCGATGTGTCCCTTTCACATCGATGTTTCTCTCTCTCTCTGTGTTCCTCTCTCTCCCTCCCACTCTACCTGAACAAAAAAATGGGAAAATGTCCTCGGGTGAGGATAAAAATAAAATAAAAATAAAAAAAATAAAAATGGAACGCTTCACGAGTGTGCCTGTCACCCTTGCTCGGGCCGTGCTACTCTTCTCTGCATCGTTCCTGTCTTAGTCTGTGGGCTGCAGAAGCCAGCACAGCTGGCTGTTTTTGTGTTTGTTTTTTGTTGTTGTTTTTTTATCCTCACCTGAGGACATCTTTGCATTTATCTTCAGATAGAACGGGAGGGAGAGAGGGGGGAAGAGAGAGAGAAACATCGATGTGAGAGAGAATCACCGAGTGGCTGCCACCCACACGACTCCAACCAGGGCCGGGGACAAACTGCAACCCAGGTACGTGCCCTCAGTGGGAACTGAACCCAGGACGCTCTGTTCCGTGGGCTGACGCTCTAACCGCTGAGCCAAACCGGCCAGGGCAGCAGGCTGCTCTTTAACTTGATAATGTTGTAGGGCCCGGGAATGATGTAACAAACATCCAAATGGCCCTTGGCACAGACAGGTGCCCTGGGCTGAGGCAGACGAGCGCCCACACCACTCAGCTCAGCGGCTCCACTTCATCCCTTGTCGGCCCTGCAGCTGACCCCTGCCCACACACCTGACAGAAGGTCCAGGCTCCTCGTCCTGACAGACTGCTCACCTCCCCTCTGAGGAGAGCGTGCGGGACTCGGCTGCAGTGAGCCACGCTTCCCGCCCACGCGGAAGCTTGTACTTCAGCTAAGTAGCTTGAATAGATTACAGAAAATTACTGTATTACTTATTTCCCATACTTTGAGAATCAGCTGAGAATGAACTAGAAACGGAAACTAGATTTCAGTGTTGCTCTAAAATGACTCCTTGGGGGTGGGTCTCCCCACCAGTTACACCCTTCTTCTCCCCATCACTTCCCTGACACACTGGTCTTCATTCCTTCCTTTCTCTCCTTAAGGCTGCTCCACCACTGTCTTCCGAGTTCCTCTCTCCCCAACGATATTCCAGACCTGGACCAAAGGAATATTAAAATCTGACTAAAAAACAAATTAGATTACCTGTTTTTTTTATTTTTTAATTGAATGTATTAGGGTGATTTTGATCAATACAATTACATAGCTTTCAGGTGTCCAATCCCATCAAACATCATCTATATATTGTACTGTGTGTTCACCACCCTAAATGCTTTCTTTTAACTTCAATTATGAATTAAATACTATTTAACAGACCATTACCTATTTTAGTGCAACCTGGGATCTAAGAGTGGTTTTTATGGTTTTAAATGATTGGGGAAATAATCAAGTTAATTATTTCATGGCACAAAAATTATAAAATTCACATTACAAAAGTTCCATAACTGAAATTTATTAAAACATAGCCACGCTCATTGTTCTTGCTACAACTGTAGTTTTGTGGAGACTGTAGGGCCTGCAAAATGTTTTTTAAAAATTATTTTCTGGCCCTGACTGGTTTGGCTCAGCAGTTAGAGCGTCCGCTGGTGGACCAATGAGACCGGGGTTTGATTCCGACCAAGGGCACATACTTTGGTTCTGGTTTGTCCCTGGCCCTGGTCAGGGTCACACGGGAGGCAAGCAGTCAATGTGTCTCTCTTGCATCGATGTTTCTCTCTCTCCCTCCCTCCCTTCATCCCTCCCTCCTAATCTGTCTAAAGATCAATGGAAAAACCTCCTTGGGTGAGGATTAAAAAATATATATATTTTCTGGAGGCATCTCTGGCTTGCTGAGTAGACACGATGAGCAAAGTTCACTCCCTCTTTGTGAAACGTTTGTGGACGAGAAGTTGTCATTGACAATACATGGCGGTACACGCGCCCCAGGAATGCTGTGCAGACCTGACCCCGCTGTGGCAAGGGTAACAGACCAGCACGAGGAGGTGGTGACAGGAGGGCACAGCATCCTGTGAGGGCGCTGACCCGTGTGAAGGAGGGTTGGGCTCACTGGGGACATCGGCTGCTTCCACGTGTGTCCTCTCTCCGGCTGCTTTACCAAGGTATGAAAATCAGCTGTGCACATTTTCTTTATGAACTTTGTCGATAAATAAACTTTTGTATGAGTCCAAAGAATTCTCTACCCATTTAAAGTTTACAAACCCCTGGCGAAACACATCCCAGTTGGAAAGCAACCAGGGCGAGGTCCTGCTCGGTGGGCTTCACAGATCTTGCTCAGTTGCTTCTGAAAGCTTCATGGAGGGGGGTGTTGTCTCCAGTGTTTACGTAACAAAACTGAGACTGAGGGAGAAAACTTCACCCACTTCACAGAAAAGGTTGAAATAAGATCTGCCTGCCCCCTCAAACTGGTATTCTTCCCACCATACAACACCCCTCCTTAAAGTTCTGAAGTACGAAGTCTTGACATCCACCCACTGGTCTCAATTTTCTCCCCCGAGGCCAACCAGAGTGATCTTCCAATACCCAGACTGCATGTCTGTCTGGCCCGAGCCTTTGATTCTGTGGGGTTGACGCCGATTCGTTTAAGGTTCTGTGACACAGATTTAAGTCCCTTTACCATCCAGACCACTTCCTATGAGCACAGTCCAGTTGGTCCATAATCGCCATACGGTGTGGCCCCGAACACAGAACTTGGTTCCAGGGGTGCGGTGCTGTTAGCAGGGATGAGATGAAACATTCCTGCCTACTGAGATTCTCGCGTCTCGTTCTGCAAACTGCTGATGCTGCTCCGTCCAAGTCCTTGCCATCCACAGTGAAGCAGATACCTTGCTTTTCCTGAGTCACTGGCAAAAACGCACTGAAGTTCATGCTTCGTCCCAGAAGGTGGCGCTCACACGCCTTCCGTTTTATCAAGTGTATTTGTCTCAGTCCTGGGGACCCAAGTGGTCGAGATCTCCGAAAACCCAGCCACATCATTCCCACCGGAGCAAAGAAAGGTAACTTGCTTCCTCCTCTATTTTTCTTTAAAGGTCACTGTGAGTATGGGGGCTGCCTGCCCTTCTCTCCCCAGCCGTCTTGAATCCCAGGTCCACCACTAGCCTAGGACTTTGTATGAACTTGGGCACGTTCATTTCCGTAGTTTCCCCACGTGTGAAATAGGGACACTGATATTCCCGTAAATCAATTAATGGATGGCAGCAATTATGTGTGTTACCCAAAAAGTACCATTTCCTATTAGATCTTTACATGCAGCACCAAAAAGGGGACAATAAATTGGAGGAGCTACAGAATTAGAGATTTTTTTAAATTGAAGTTGTGCTTTAAATTTCCTTTAAGCTGTTGGCAAGCCCCATAGAACATGCCTCTCAGAAATGGACCGACCACTTTTCCCTCCCCTTTCCTCCTCTGGCCTTGATCTGCAGACCAACACACCCTTAACACTCAACCATTGCACCCTGGTCTCAGTGGGCTCATGTGTCTAAACACCCATGTCCAGGAACTTGCCCTGCTCCCCATCCCTCAGCTCTTCCCTTTAACATGGGAAATGCCCACGTCAGTCATTGCTGTTGGAGCACAGACTGAGGGCAGGTTACAGTGTAACTGTCGCCCTGGCCAGTTTAGCTGAGAGGTTTGAGTATCAGCCCAAAGACGGAAGAGTCATGGGCTCAATTCCCAATGAAGGTCACCTACGTCAGTTGCAGGCTCAACCCCAGCCCGGGTCAGGGTCATGGGGGAATCAATGTCTCTCACACTGATGTTTCTCTCTCCACCCCTCCCTCCCACTCTATCTGAAAAGAAAAAAAAAAAAAAAAAATCAAAGGAAAAATATCCTCCGGTGAGGATTAAATAGGAATTGTAATTATCAAGCCTTGGGGAATGTATCTCTAATTTCTTTCTTTCTTTTATTTATTTATTTTTTTTTGGTACGTGCCCCTAGCGGGAAACGAACCCAGGACTCTGGTCCCCAGGCCAGGAAAACTGGCCAGGGCTCTAATTTCTTAATAAGACTATCAGGAGGATTTTGAATGGACAAGTAACCCTGGGAGTCCCAATTCTTTAAATGTAGGGCTTCAGGATTTAAACAAACTCAGTGTGAAAAATAAACATTTATTACAAAAATGGGTTTTGACATTCCAAAACGAACGGTGACGGTTCCAGGTCGAAGGGGCTGCTGTGGGCTGCGGAAGCTCATTCCACGGCTGGTGACAGCAGCTTCACACCCACGAGCGAGGGAGACACGCAGCACAGCAAACACCCCCTTCTCCCGCTCCGGCCCTCCTCCCGACCACGGGACAGATCTGAAACATACTTGACCGGTCCTTCTTACTGAGCCGTTTCATAATCTCTACATTTATTGCCTAATTAGACTTTATTTTCATCTGGAAGATTTTGTTATTGGTGCATGAGGCTTACCTGATGGGGAAAACTCAGGCCCGCCAGGGGTTTCCAGGTGAGGCAGCAGAACATGGCAACGGGGTGCTTGGTGCTTTCCCCAGAAATAAAGCAAAATCGATACTGGAAAAGCCTATGTTGGAAGTAGTCACTAGACTGGGGGCGATGGATGGGGAAACAGTAAACTACGAGCAAAGCAAAGCAGGTCCGAGCGAGAAGAGGCAGCGAGCCAGGCAGGCAGGTGGATGGCTCCACCACCCACCTCAAAGACCCCCCCACCCCAATCAGGTAGTTACTACCGCAAACTCCTGATAAAGACGTAGTTCTCCAAACGACTTGAGCATTCCTCCTGCCCGGGCTCTGGAGCACTTTTTCCTGGAGCCTCCAAGGCCATTAATGCACCTGGTTGGCAGCAGTCAGACCACAGAACCCTGAGCTCAGCACCGCCTTGCCTGGGAGCCCTCGCCAGCAGGGGGCGCCGGCCACGGGAGGGCTCTGGGGCCAGGGCCAAGGCCGGGAAACTCCACCTTGAGGCAGGGACCGGGAAGGGGTGCGGCAGGGAGCTGGGACCAGCCCGGGTTGCTGGGAAACAGGGCTTCAGGCATTTCCTTGTTTGTTGGAGAAGCCGGAGGGCCTCACTCTCCCACTCACAAGACGCTTCGACAAACCAAGTTTTTATTTCCAGCAACATCCCAACATACACAAACACAGTCTCACCAAAGAGCTAGGAAGTTCTCCAACACACACTCCTGTCAACACGGAGCTAAGACCACACACACAGTTCGCAGTCACATCTGAAGAGGTCCGTCCAGCTGTCCAGCCATCAGCTCCAGGTTCCCTTTCCATTTTGAAATTCTTCTGCTTCGGGTCCCCACAGGCTCACTGTGCTCCCCACAGCCAGGGCTCGTTTGTCCTACTACACAGTTGGCGTCAGTAGGCTTGTGTCCAGGGCAGTGCCGGAGGACCCCAGGGGCACTTCCCGTGGGAAGACAGGTGGAAGAGACTGATGTCAACGACCATTTCTCCTGCTCGGCTCTGGCTCCACCGCAGAACGCCTGGTACTGGTGCTCGGGATGGGAGGAAAGAACCATGGATTCAGACTGAAGATCCCTATCCAAGGGCTGCTGCATGCGGGGGGAGGTGAGCGCCCTCCACTTTGCAGTCTCCGCGGACAGGAGGTCAACTGGAACTGGCATTGCCAAGACTCCTGCTGGATCCCTCGTAGGGACAGGAATGGAAGCTTTACACAAGTCCCAGGCCACACAGCAGTGCCCGGAAAGGACAGGACGGGAGGAGGAAGGAGGAAGGGGCTCATAGCTCACGTTATAAAATCGCATCCCTGTGGAGCTAGAAGATAAACAAGGCATCCTGTGAAATCACAGCCTTCAGGGGCCAGAGTCTGGTAGCACCTGAGTGAGGCCAGCTCGAGGACCAGGGTCACACCAGGAAAGACGAGGTCTGTCTGAATTCCCCCTGGGGAAATAAAACACCCAGTCAGCTCTCTCTAGTCTTCAGCTCACAGTCCCCTGAACACATAAACAGGCTGGAAAGCCCTGCACGCCAGCCGGAGGCCCTCCCGGTCCAGCCCAGGACACTCACTTCGCTTCGAGCGGTGGACTGGCTATAAATGACCTTCTTATTCTCGGTCCTGCACACAAGCCAGAAGACGGAGACATTCAGACCTCAAGCTCCTCTCCTGACCTCTGCATGCCAACTTTTGAGGTCAGAACTGAGAACTTGACAGAATCACAAGGTCTCCGTGGGGGGTGGAAGGAGAAGGGAGAGCACAGAGCCAGTGAACAGGGGGAAACTCAGATGTCTCTCCGACCAGCCCATGGCCTCCACCTCCAACCCCTCCCCAGGCCAACCTCAGAGTCAAACCATACGCGTCCGTTCTCCACTTCGGAGACCCCAGCACAGTGCCTCACTCACCCTTTCTTTATTCCTGAAAGAGAAGACATGGGCCCTGAGTGTCAGCAGAGCGGAGACAGCAGGGCAAGGACAGGAGCCTGCGTGCAGCGCTAAGGTGTGGGCGGCTGGGGATCCCTGGGGAAGAGGCCTGCACTTGCGGTCTCAGTGCGAAGGAAACCCTTTGAGGGCCAGTACTTACTGTGGAAGTAACCTCGGCTGTAGGCAAACCAGATGCCGAAAATCAAGAGTCCCAGGAGAATGAGTGTCACTATGACAGCTGCCACGATACCCCCCACATTCGGCTCCACTATGAGACACAGACAAGAGGGCAGGCGTGTGAACGCCCACTCATGGTACCAGCTACACCATCCAAGCACGAAAAGCAGACGCAAGCCCCACCTCAGGTCTGAGTTCCAGCCCCTGCCACCCCTGCCCACGCTCACCAGCCTCCATGCGCACGCTGTCGGACATCATGGGTGCCCCATGCCCGTTCTGTGCCTGGCAAGCGTATTCTCCAGTATCAGAGGCTGAGACGGGATCAAAGACCTGGAGGGCAGAAAGCACACCACTGTCCTGCTCAAACAAGCCAAGTGCCTACCTTTTAGGTCTCTGGATCCTAATGCCCAACTTGTTGCTGCTTGTGCTTCCTGCCCACCGTCAAGGGTTCTGTACCGGTGCCCCCCACCCCTTTCACCTCCACCCATCCATACCAACTCTCCTGTCTTGGTGTCCAGGCTGTAGGAAGAGTTACTGAAAGCACGGCTGCTCTTGGGCTTCTGAGGCACCTGGATCCCGTCCCTGTACCAGAGGTACTCAGAGGGTGGGGAGCCATCTGTCTCTGAGCAGGTCAGCACCACCCGGCTCCCGATGGTGGCAGAGGAGGGGACGTTGACTGTGGGTTTGGATGGAGGCACTGGAAGGGAGAGAAGGTGCTGATCACAGGGCAGGGAGGGCTGCTGGGAGGCTAAGCAGCTGATGAGGATGATTCCCCAGCCAGCAGCTCTCGCCTCACCCACTCCCAGGGGCCTGTCCCCTCTCTGGCAGCACTGAGACTCTGAGTCCCCCACCCGAGAGCATCTGCACCGTCAACAAGCTCCAAGGCTCAGCGGAGGGAGCTAAGTGCTGGGGGAGCCAGTGAGTCCAAGTCCACAGAAGACACGTGCACGTACCAAGCACAATGAGCTGGATGCTGACCTCCCCATAGGCGGTGCCATCTTCAGAGACCATGCACGTATACATCCCCGTGTCCTTCCGGGTCACAGAGTGGAAGGTGATGCCAGTGTTCGAGAAGGTGACTCGGTCCTCATAGGGAGCTGTGGGGAGAGGAAACAGGGCAGAGGGCGCTGGAGAGCGGGGAGCAGCTGCTGATGGTGGCACCCCAGGCACCCAGGAAGGGAGGCAGGAAAGCCATGGGGACTTGAGCCCTGGGTATGCTTCTCCCCTGTAACCCTCTACCACCCAGACAATCAGGAAGGAGGTGGAGGGCTCACCCGTGATCTTGTTGTTATAGCAGACGAGGCTGGTGATGTCCCCTTGGGCAAACTTCCACTCAATCCGAGGAGAGGAGAAGCCGGAGTATATGCAGGACAGCTTGGCAGCTGCAGACGGATCGAATGAGCAGGGGGAGAAGCAGCAGCACATGGAGAAGACAAGACGGGTTCCGGGTTCCCGGGGACGTCCGCAGGCTCACCCCCCTTCCCTCTCCACAGCCCCTCCCAACTCACGTTTATTCTCAGGAACCTGGACTACAGGGTTAGAGGTTCCCACTGACTCCTTGCCCAGCGCCAGGGAGCCTGAGGAGGAGAGGTGGTCCCATTAGGAGTGAAAAGAGAACACAGGGCCAAGACCTAGGCCGAGCCCTCAAGGCGCAGGGATTCAAGAGCCCAGCTCCTGCAGGTCTCACACCCTCTCAACACCGTAAATAACTTTCTTAAACTGCTTTTGCTACAACTGCAGGCCAATACTTCTTTTATCAGTGGAAACAAAATATTTCTTTCAGATGCAATTGATTACATTTTTGTCCCACCCCACCCACCGCCATGACTCCCAGTGATGTAATGAAGCCGCCGCTCGCCTGGGAGCAGCTTCCCGAAGGGCACTTCGAGGCTGGCAGACAACTTCTCAACCACCGCGGCCACTTGTCCACAACCCTGGCGGGGAGCCAGCTGTCAGGAGGGAGGGCTCCTCACATTGCAGGGTGTCCGGTGCCTCTCAGCACCTTTTCGCATAAAGTCGCTCAGTACTTGAGGTCAGCTTTACAGACCAGCAGGACAAGTATTACTACCCCAGCTTTACACAGGAACTGAGGGGACACGCCTAGGGTCACAGAGCTGGTTCTGAGATGGAGTCAGGACCAGAACTGGGCTCAGATCATGTCATCAGCATCTCCTCCTACCCAAGGACAAGGAAAAGAAAAGATGCATGTGGTGCGGGGTGTAGAGGGGCGGGGAGGGGACAAGGCTAATTGGCAGGCGTCACAGGAGGGGCAGGCCTCACGGGAGGGGCCTAACCTTGGTGATGAGCACCAGAGGGGGAGGGGGGAGGGCAGGGGGAGGGCACGAGGGCAATCACTGTCACTCCTGTTTTCAACGTTCAAACTCACAAAGTTCCACTTATACCTAAGTCAGAGTCCTGCCCTCTTAGATAAATACAAATTCATCTGATACATTCAAGTGCATTTTCCCTCTATTACATAACTGGACACGATCCCTGGACCTCTGAGGCTCCCTTTGCTCATCTGAACTATGGAAGATTTGAACTGGAGGCTCTCTACACTCAGGTCCCCCATGGTGAATTCATCCAGATAAGTCTTCTCTCCCCAACCTTACAGATGAGGAAATGAACTGCCTTCCGGGTTAAGTTTCTGGACCTAGATTTCCTGACTAGGAAACGCCAGAGCTGAGACTAGAATCCAGTTCACGCCTACAGCCCCTACACCCCAATTCCCTTAATTTTATAAAAATGTTTTTATTTATTTGTTTGCTTGTTTATTTAGAGGAAGGGAGAGAAACATCTGTCAGATGAAAACACCAATCGGCTGCCTCCTGCACGCCCCCTACTGGGAATCGAGCCCACAACCAGGGCCTGTGCCCTGACTGGGAATCCAACCAGGACCTGCCAGGCCACCAGACCATGCTCAGGTCACTGAGCCACACCAGCCAGGCTGAAATGCTTGGATTTTTGTCCAAGTCAGCCTTCTCTGCTTTAATGATCAGAACTGTTTTGTGTGTGTGTGTTTAAGATTCTCAGATTTTACAGTTTGCTACCTGGGCACATGCAGTTTGTGGTGGACACCAATGCTTGCGCCATACCTCTCCGCAGAAGGAAGGGCTTGTCCCGTTGCTGGGACTGCTGTCACAAGGCCACCACTACCAGTCAGAACACAGCCTCACCCAGGGACAGTCCCCCCACCGGGGACAGGGCAGGGCAGCTGGCATCCGTGCCTGCTCAAGGAGGGGGCAGATGTATAAAGCCCCAAGTCCACCTCCCAAGTCCACCACGCTGCAGTCTGTTCCTGCTCTGAACTCCCCTGTGAGGTTGGCTGAGGCCTCCTGGGGACGTCAACCTCACATCCTGCTTCCTTCCTCTCCTTCCCCAGGTGTGGATCCCAGGAGCTCTCCCTAACAAATGTCTTGGTACCTTAACTGACATCTTAGAGTCAGCTTCCCAAGAACCCAACCTATGGCACCATTCAAATAAAGAACTTAATTAAATTAAAAACTAGCCTTTGAAATAAAGAGCAACACACACACACACACACACACACACACACGCACACGCACCCCTTTAATTTTTTTTCTTTATTGATTTTAGAGAGGAAGGGAAATGGGGAGATAGAAACATCGATGAGAGAGAACGTCGACTGGCTGCCTCCTGCATTCCCCCCACTGGGGATCAGGCCCACAACCTGGGCATGTGTTCTGACCCAGAATTGAACCGGCGACCTCAGGTTGAGCTGCAGGGTCGATGCTCAACCACTGAGCCACACCAGCCAGGCCATGCACACAACTTTAGCTACAGTTTCTTTTTAGACATAGAAACACTGATGAGAGAAAGATTGGCCACCTCCTGCCGGGGCACCACTCAGCCACTGAGCTACACCTGCTGGGCTACAGCTCCGTTTGGAGTCCTCTTAGATACTCGATCCAAAACACACTCAGGAATCACACCTATGCTACAGACACCTTCCTCCTCCCCACTAATCCTGACTGCACGGCCTACTCCAGGCTTCTCTTCCCTTCTTCAAAATACAGGACCCTTCTGCTCTGGCCAGTTTGGCTCAGTGGTTGAGCATCGGCCTGCGGACCAGAGTCCCAGGTTCGGTTCCCACTAGGGGCACGTACCACAAACAAACAAAAAAATACCAGACCCTACTCCTCAAAACCTGCCCACCTCCTTCTGAGCAGGGCTGCGATCTGTGGACAGACTGCTCACACTCCCAGTCCAAGCTCACTGCCACGCCCTCCCATGGTCACAGGACATCCTGGCCTTCCTGGCCCAGCCCCCTTCTCATTCCTGAGCCAGCCCCTGGGACCCAAAGGCCTGCATTCAAACCCATCTGTTATTACTACATTGTGCAACCAGGCAAGCTACTTGATCACTTTCAAACTTAGTTTGCCCATTTGTAAAATGGGGATAACATAGTTTCTATATCAAAGGCTGTTGCTGAGAATTAAACAAGCTAATAGAGAACAGAGTCTGACCCACAGGAAGTACCAAATAACCATTATAGCTTCTTGTTATCATATCTGTCCACAGCTCCTTCTGCACAGGCTACTTTTCCTGAATTCAACGTGTTCTTCCTTTTTTTTTTAATCCTTACCCAAGGACATTTTTCCATTTTTGTTCAGATAGAGTGGGAGGGAGAGAGAAGAGAGCTAGAAAGAGGGAGAGAGAGAGATCAACATGAATGGGACACATCGAGTGGCTGCTGCCCACACGACCCCAACCAGGGCCATGGACGAATCACAACTGAGGTACGTGCCCTTCACCAGAATTGAACCCATGACTCATTGGTCCGTGGGCCACCACTCTAACTGCTGAGCCAAACCGGCCAGGGCTCAATGTTTTCTCTAATTAGACATAAATATAAGTACTGCCTGAGAAAGGCTTACACTCCAGCCCCCCGAACCTTCTCTCCTTTATCCCTGTAACTGCCCTGGAGAGACTCTTCTGAACCCTGCAAGACAGGTCAGGAGAGGCCAGGGCTTTTCCTCCCCATACCCGTCCGCATGGGCACACCCTGGGCTCCCTGCCCACCTCATCAGCTGTCCTGTTTCCCTCACCTCCTCAGGGCGCCCTTTTGCCCTTGGCCTTGAACCTACACTTGTCATACTGTGCACGTGTACCAATGTCTACTAATGCCCACAATAAGTCAAAATCAAAGGGAATTTCATCTTTCCATTGTGATATTTAACTCTAGTTTCATAAGAACAGCCACAAAGTCAATGGCATCAACTAACACACTTCTGGCCCTTTCGTGTACAGAAAACCTTCATTTAATCTTGCACCTCTCTAGCTAAAACCTTCTCCTCCCCTTCTCCCAAACTCCTTAAGGAAGTTGTCTACACACACTGGGGCCAACACACCCATTCAGCCTACTGCAGTACCTCTTTGGCTCTGACCGTGGAATTAAACTTGCTTTTACTAAGGTCACCAGTCTTCGTATCTCTCAACTCTAAGATGCCCTGATTATAAGATACAACATCGATTTAGTAAGAGCTTCTTGGGGATAAATTATATGGATCATATACGTAGGCTGTACATCACATTCCAGTTGCCAAAACCTAAAATAGTCTTAGAATCAAGAATACACAATATTTGCTTTTCCAGTTACCTTCTGTGACCTTTGTAAGATGTTAGCCCTGCCAACCACCCCTCCTCAGAGGTCACTCCAGCCCCTTGGTTTCTATGTGTGGCCCTCAGACTTCTGTCTTATTCTTCTTGAGCTTTGCCTCCTCTGTCTATCCCTTAACGATGGATCCCCAGCATTCCAGCCTGGGCTTTTTCTCCTCTCCATATTCTCCATGAAATCGCACATTCAGCCCAAACTTCCTCCATACCAAGCCCAGCCAGGTCAGCCACTGCCTCTCACCTGAGCTGCACACTCCTGACAGGTGCCCAGACTTCACACCACCCCTCCTGCCAGCTCAGACTGCTCAACACTGCCCACCACCTCTATCTCTCTCTCTTTTTTTAATCCTCACCTGAGGATTTATCTTCAGATAGAGTGGGAGGAAGAGGCACAGAGAAACATCAATGTGATAGAGACACATCAATTGGTTGCCCCCGCACAACCCTGACCCGGGCTGGGGACCAAACCACAACCGAGGATTCAAATCCGAGACTTTGGTCCACAGGCCAACGCTCTAACTGCTGAGCCAAACTGGCCAGGGCTACCTTTCTTTCCACTCCTCTCTCCAGGTTGGTGGTATCACCATTTACTTGGTCACCTTCAGGCAATCCATCTGTCCTTTACTCGAACACCAAGCTTCATAATGTCCCAAATCTCCCTCAGGCTGGCCTCCTCTCCATTCCCACTTTTCAGTGCCCCCCATCGTCTGGGGAACTGCAGTTGTTCTCTGACTGGCTCCTCTGCCTTGTTTAATTTTGTCCCGCTCAAATCCACCCTCTATCCTATGCCAGAGAAGAGCACTTACTATGTGGGCACACCTCGCGGACCATCGTTTCACCCCTACAACAGCCCTAGCCTTTGGGCAACACTATTATCCCCTTAATTTTATATGGAGAAACTGAGGCCCAGAGCTGTTGAGTGAAAGTGCAGATTAAAATT